TCCCAGGTTCGGCATTAGCAGAAGGCTAGATGGCGCTGGTGTCGAGAAGTAAACCATATTTGTGGTCAGGGCATGAGACAATCCTATTACGCAACTTTTTATTGATTTTTGGGAAGAGCGGTAGGGTTCCAGATTGCACGTAGTATCGCCAAATGGCCCCATCGTTGAAAGTTAATGCCATATTCGTGATCAGGATGTCAACTGATCCCCGTTTAGAAATTTTCATCAAATTTGGTGCGAAGAAGTGGTGGCGTGATGTTGGCGCCTGTTGGCGCCAAATAGCGCCAGCTCTATGTCACGTTGACGATCAGGACATCGTTTAACATCTATAGGCAGAACTTCAGCGAAAAACTTTTAAGTTCTTGGGGTTGGAATAGTTCAATAGTGCTAAAACTTCTCAGTGAAGGACAGAAGCGAGTAAATAGCTCCATAAAAGGATAAACGGGACCCATGAAGTGAGCCTGGTTAATATAAATATAATTTGGGATTACCTTGAGATCCTGATTGATTTCATGTTCGTCTCGTTGCTCCATATTCAAGGGACGAGCGACCACCTTATTGAAGTCACGACCATTGAAATCGAACGCCATTTGTGGATTATTCACCTTCTCAGGCTGCGCTGCTGGCATTGGTAACGGGGCGGTTTTTGACTGCAATACACTGCCATTGCTATACATCACAGGCGAAGTTCAGAAGGCGATTGTGAATCAATATTCCATGGGAAAAGAAACGTTAATCGTAACATTTTAAATCGGAGAGGGTCATAAATTGAAAATGACACAAATTTGTTTTGACCCATTTTCACCAGTGAGGAAAAAAATACGTCGCGAAATTCTTGGAATTCCATGGACTGCATGAAATTTGGGATTCTGCACGGCTGGGCGAACAGAAGTTAAGCGAAGCGTTAGCGACCCTGAACTTAGATTTACAATAGGAAGACTGAATTCCCGCGATTCTTTAGGAATTCTCCGCCGTTTTGGATGACTTACAGTCAAGAACAGCTACGCGCTAATCGTCTGTCCCACCCAATTATCTGCGAAGAAACGGTTTTTTTCTAAGAGGGCTTAGTGCTATCGCTGCGAAATTTCGACACCGCTCATCAGGTTCTTGTTGCTACTTTTTAGTCAACACCGTTGAGATGTAAATGTGGCGTTACATTCGGTTTTTGTCAGAGCGACTTGGTCAGCTGAAGCTATGAGGATCGTCATGAAAAAGGGAAATAAGGTATACTCGAAATCCCTGAGATCGGGTAGGCGTGGCCGCATGTTTCAACTTAACCTGAAGGTGTCTATGCTTCTGGTGAGATATTTTCATCTTGACACAATTGTTGTCGTGTCTCTGTCCAACACAGAACAATGACAGTTGTCCCAGACTGGAATATTCCACGAGTAACCAATTCCGTGCCATGTTCAAATGCCACGCCTACTCTGGCTCAGGGATAAGGAGTGTAAAAACGTCCTTCAAGAACGATGGGGCGTCTACTATTTTCAAGTAGAC